GAGTACTCACGCGTGACATAATAACCCTGCCCATGAGGTCCAGCTCACGCTCACGGTCGGGTCGCTGCCACGCAACTCTTTGCGCTAGCCCCGCGGGAGCCCGAAGCCAATCAATGCGTACCATTTCCCTGACTGGCTGCAGGCAACAGGGGACATTTCCTGGGGATTGCTGTAATCCCGCGCGCAGACACACAACAAATAATCGGAGGAACCTGCTAGTACTACCCTTCTGTAGAACCTTTTTTGAGCTCTTTCCTCAAAGTGAACGCTATCCAACCCTATCAGTCTTCCCTGCCTTCTGATTTGGGAAAGCTTCTGTTGTCGAAATTGCCACCATCGGCAGCCGCATGGAGAAAGAGCCAAAGAACCCGCTTCCCACCTATGTGAGGGATACGGTTTCCGTGCCTGTGGCGGGTTGCGCGGGATGGGTTTTTGGGAGATGTGTGTTACTATAACAGCTGAATTTTTTATAAGTAGCCCGCAAACGTGCATCTGTACACTAAAAGGGAAAGGGTACACGCAAGAACTGCATTCCCTGCTTGCATGGTTTTCTGTCACAGGCTCAGAACGGGGAACTGGAAGATAAATATATCGCAAGTCAGGGGGTCGGCATGTTTTATTTCCATAGAAAATGATCCAGGTGGATCATCCGCCTTCAGTATCGCTTTTCGAAAATGGTAATAGTCTATTATAGGTACCACCACGGAAAACAAACACCCTAGAATCCTGTCACATGGGACCGGTCGTAGCGGTAATTTGATTATTTTTAATAATAGCATTTTAATTATTGCGCGCTTTTTCGTTGATCTGTATAAGCCCTTTATAATTAAGTCACCTTCTCTTTCCTGTTTTTTGTTTGGTATAGTTCTTTTATTTTCTCACCTGCACCTCTGTGATAACCGCGGTCGTACTAATAATATACTATTATCTCGAAAATATCAGTTCGACCGTCATGAAGGGCGAGTTCCGTCGTATGCAACATAACGAGATGGGCAAAAGATGGTGACTTGCGATGCATTTGTCACAATCTCCTCCACCCTCAATCACATGGACCCGCTGTAAAAACAGCGTCAGGACGACCAGAGGTGGGCTCGAGCACAATGGATATCAAAGCTAAACAGTCAGTCAACACGTTCCACACACGATTTTAAATTCGCACATTATAAAATGTTTTCATATAAAGAGTACAACTAGAATCACATCTAGGTGAGAGTGCCATGCGGATCACATTAAGAAGGAGTCCCTGCAGATTTCCGCTGCTGCCTGAGCAGATAGGTTAAGGGAAAGTGTCCAGTCCCATGGTGAGTCAACACACACAAAGGCGGTCGCCGGCTCCCCTACCGTCTCGTTTCCTCAATTCTGATTGGCCTATGTTGGATTGGACAATGCCTCTCACGTGGACCATTAATACACGCTGCCTTTATGTGAGAATGACTTGCTCTTACATGCTTTGCGTGAATACACGCTG